CTCACTCATTTATAAACTGGATGACTTGGGACAAATTATCTTCAATCTCAGTTTCCTACTCTGAAAAATGGGGATAATAATACCTACCTTGGGATAAGTTGGGAGGATGAAATGACAAGATAATGTTCAGAAAGGTACCTAACACTGATATATACCCTACCCTACTACCAGAGTGATGTTGATAAATTACAAATCAGATCACATTAAACCTCTGCTTAAAGTTTTTCAATGAGTCCCTGTTGTTTTGGGTATAAAATCCAAACTCATTAGAATCCTTCAAGGTCTGGACACTGTCTACCTCATTGCTCATGGCTCCCTGAGGTCATGAAGTTCCCCATTTGCCCCACACTTATACATCTCCACACCTCTCAAAATGCATTCTTCACTAGAATGACCTTTTTATTTTCTCCTAATTAGTTCCTACACATCTTCAAAACTCAGCTCAGAAACTATCTCTTCAAAAAGGTTTTTCAGATCCTCAATCATCCTGGGCTTATCTCAAAAATGTACCATATTTTATGCTGTTTCCTGTCTGTCTGCCTTCTCATTAGATTATGAACTCCAGGAATAGGCTATATTGTTTTAGATCTGGACACCAACAATTAGCCCATAGAAGATGTTTAATAAATGTTGAATAAGTAAAGTGATGAATAGATACTCAACAAAGCATGCAGAACCAAACTCTGCTCCTTTTGCAAGGAAAGAATTGTACCAGTCCAGAATCCCTTTTGCCTCTGTCTGATCAAGGAAACTTTTCTAATTGGAGAATTTCAAATGAAATTTACAAAAAAAAAAAAAAAAAGAACACTGAAAGTTCCATTTGAGAAGCTTGGAGAAGGGGAAGCAGCGGGCACCCCTTCCCCACCCTGTATTCTAATTGCACTTACCAGGGAAGGGCTAGCTAGGATGCAGTGGAAATTCCAATAGAATGGGAGACCAGAGAGCTCACTCCGCACCCGTAGGGTCAGTGCCTCTGCCACACGTTCACAGGAGAATGTAGCTTTGCCAGGACAAGCAGTGGCCTTCAACAATGGGCGAAGCAGATCATCCAAATGACAGAGAAAAGCCGCAGGTGGGGCAGTCAGGCGCTTGTTCAGTTCCTAAAAAGACAGCAGGGGTTGTACAGAGTGACAGTGCTAGAAGGAAACTGACTCCCTCGTAAGTGACAGCAAAGGGAAACTCTGGTTAACATGAAGACAGCAGGCAGGAGGAGAAGGGAAGGGAAGATAAAAACATCAGAACAAGAAAAAAGAAAACAAAAAGAAGAGAGATCAACTGGCCTACTTCGCAATTCTGCCTTCTGCTGTATGCAGTACAGAAACTAACACACACACATGGAAAGATGCCAGGGCTATAGGTAAAAGTGCAGAACATAACATCAATGGGAATTGACCTTTCTTGGCAACCTACAGGCTAACAAGCTGGTTGACGTTAACATCCCCTAACCTTCACTAGAAAAGAAATGATGTCCTCTGCCACCCACAGCAGTACTTCTCTTCACACTTACCTTGGCTCGCTGGCTGACCACACTAGTGTCCACCTGTTCGTGCCACACCTGTTGAAGATCTGAAACCAGCAAGGCATAGCCCTGCTTGGTGATACAAGCCTTGGCCAAGAGGGAGTTCTCAGCAAGCTGTAGCCATGCCCACGGCTGCATCAGCAGGCCTTGCTCCAGTTCCTCCATCTGCAGGAGAATCTTAATTTAGCAAAGTGCCGCCAGGGTACTGTAGGCCTGGGGGATCACCACCCAGACAGTTCTATATCAAATAAGTCTTGTGAAAATCCTCCCTAATAAGACAGAAGGCATAGATTTACATTCTATCTCCTCTCTCCCCACTCCACTTCGCCCCCTCACTCCCCCCGCCCCCTGCCAACCAGCTGAGCATCAACCTGACTACCTCTTGGCCACTAAAAATCTATTTATAATTTGGAGGGGTTTTCCCCCTCTATTAAATTCCTAGAGGACATAAAATTTCTGCTTCTTCTATAACATTTAAGCCTCAGCATATTGGGAACAGTGTTCTTGTTTTCTAATAATATAACAACGTGGAAACCTAAACCATTCTTGTTGCATCTTTATCACATTCCTAATAAATATGTCAATGCTATCCTTTCCTAGAACTTCTGGAAGAGGAGGAATAGTTCTTGTTTTATAAAACATCGTAAGTCATAAGTGCCATGGGCAGGAAATTCAAATTATTTGATCATTATCTAAAAACAAAACTCTGGAAGTTCTCAGAATTTTAAAATATATATATTTCCTAAAAAAAAAATATATATATATATATTCCCTAAATGAATGTATATATGTATGTGTGTGTAGCCTTAACCTAGCAGATGTTCAGTAACTATGGCTACTTTACAGGCAGTTTTATCATTTTTCTTGCAGGTAAAAAAAAATGTGATATAACTGTCTTCATTATTTCAGTCTATAAATACAAAAGTGAAGTTGGGAAGAGGGCGGATCTTAGAAAATAAACAATAGGAATCCTTGGATTTCATTAAATAGGTCAACACAGTTCTGTTCTTCCAGTCACTTCCAACTTAGTCTAAGCCGTTATTATTCCAACCATCTCATTTTTGAATCACGGCCTTGTAACAGACTTTGTACAGTCACTAGACAGGTAAAAAAAAATACATATATATAAAATATATTTTTTTTTCTTTGCAGCAGCCTCAAAAGCTTGTGTTTGGAGGGTGGTATTTCAGTCATACTTGCCACTTGATGTTCCCACTGGGAAGAGGCCATCCTGGAATGCTTAAACTAGTCTTCACCGGACCAGAGTTCCACATTGCCAAAGGTCACAAACCGCAAGTCGTCAAGCCCTTCTCTCCCCTACAGGAACTCCATGGTGTGCACTCTAAGAGTCACCAAAATTGGGCTGATTATCCTAGCTTGTACTTCGGAAAGCCTGGAAGCTCAGGATCCTCAAACCGTACGGTGTTTCACTTTGTGGGCAGGGGAGGAGTTTAAAATGTGGCCAGCACATAGGCTGCACATTGGCAGCGCATCGGAGGAATTCAGCACAAGACCTGGCGTTAGCTGCTCCCATCACGCACGTCCTGTTCTGAGGCCTCTGTATCTCACGTTTTTCTTTTTTCTTCAAGGACCCTTTAATCTTCACATTAACCAGATTCACCCATTTATTATTCTTGAATGAAGGGAGGGGAAGCGCCGAGGGCCAATAGCGGAGTGGGGTTGCCTAAAACCGGTATGCACCGTCCCGCCCCTTAGCCATGAGCCTCCCCGCGCAGTTCCTCCTCCATCCTGCAGGGGGTAACAAGGCCTCAGCGACCATCCTGGCTGGGCCACGCCCCGCCTCTCTAGGAGAGGACGAGCCCTCGTTCTGTTTACCACAGACCCACCCCAGGAGTCCCGCCTGGCGTCCAGTTCCCATTCGCCCTCGCTAGAAGGGCTTTCGCCGTCCGTATTTTCATTTTTATAGCACAGGCTGCACGACGCGCGGTTTGGGACTCCTCAAGGAGCAACAAAGCCGACAACCGGCTGCCCGGTCGCACCCAGCCGGAGCGTACACGCGCAGCCTCACAAACCCCGCCTCGCGGCCCGGAGGCGGGCTGCGCACGCGCGGTCC